GACAAGAAACGCAGGCGACTGTCATGGTGGGAAGGGCGGCGGTGCTGAGAAGATTCGTTCTTGCGAGGTAAGTCAACAAACTATCTCCTTGAATGAACATGTTTGTACTTCCAACAAACATATAGCCGCGCAGCCATAGTCAGTCGCATGCGCCGCATGCACCCCCCCCCTCTCAGTGATACCCCAGTAGGGGTGGTTAGAGAGTACTCAAGAAGAAGAAGAAGAAGAAGATATAGCAACAGACCACGTTTTATTTCGTTTTGCTAACCGTTATATTCCGTAGAAATTTACGTTTCTTGGAACGCTATTCTCGTACACAAATAATTTGTTTACGGCCATGAGTATAATTGTCTTCGTCAGAAGGACTATGAAATTGTCTCGTCGGAGTGTGGGGAACTGCGGATTTTGCGATATAACTCTGGAAGGCATGATTCGACGTCCATGATTTTTGGCAGGCAGATTGCCGCTGTTAAGGCCGAAGTCAAGTACAAGTTTTGGCTTCGTGGGGGGTCCGTGCGTCACGTTAGTGCACCTTTTGTGTTTGTGGCTTGTTAGCAAGATAACTCAAGTATTTGTAAAATGTTGATTATAATTCTTGGTGTGGTGCTTACTATTGTCGGGACCAAGGTTAAGTTCGTTACTGAGCTTCGTGGGGGTTTCGTTGTGACTACAGGGGGCATTTTGTTAATTTTTCTTGTGAGCAGGATAACTTTTGTATGTGTGGATGGAAGTTAATGAAATTTGATAGGCATATTACTGTCGTGGTCTCCAAGATTGAGTTCAAAAGATGAGAGTCGTGGAGGTCGTTATGTCCCCGCAATAGGACCTTTTGTGTTTAGAAATCCCCACCTACATCTGCTTGGAGACAGCCGACAGCTGGATATAGCGGGGAACCCCATAATGGGATGGGATCAAATGACTTTACATTGAGGGATTGTACTATAACTTCAGCAGGGGGAGGATAGGTTGGACATATGTCAGGTTATTTTCTACGGCCACACCAAGTAATTGCTATGGATGACGTCCACTGGAGACCTTAAATCTAATTACCTTAATTTAAGGCAAGCGCGCAATAAAAACACGAAGGGCCGAAAAACGAGATGCCTAGATCTGGAATATACTAACTGTAGAAGTACAAATGTTGGGACACAAAGAACACAAGAAACAAGTCTTCTATTTGTCATAAGGCCACACCAATTTAATTTGTTGGTTCTCGGATTTTTTCAGGAAAAATATGAAGCGACAGGGCGAAAAAAAAATAAAAATAAAAACAGATCTAGGCATCCTATTATAGCCCCAAATGCTACGATAGGAGGTATGAAGTCAACACAAAAGGCTGGTTCAAAATTTAAACAATGAATTTTGAACTTCTAATGATACTACTGCATTGAAAGATGGAATAACTGTAACAACTAGGAAGAAAAGGACTGTTTTCAACTGTTCAGGGCAAAATATGAGCATTTTGCAGGTGATTCTGAATTTTTTTTTTTTTTTGCAAATCAGGAAAAAATGAAGAGGCGAATCCGAGAACCAACAAATTAAATTGGTGTGGCCTAAAGACAAATTAACAAAACAGCAGTAGTCACCCTGTTCTGATTCTTTCCTTTATAACATCTTCTCTTATTATATTTTGCGGCGCTGTCGTGACACTTTCAACACAGTAAGAATTTCTTGAACGTTTTTTTTCCAGTAACAGTCCAAACTCAAATAACTAGGGGGGGGGGGCTAACACGGGTGACGACGCATCTGTATAATCTGCGGCAAACCGTTTCAGGGTGTTCTGTACCATAAAAATAGTACAGAGATTCTTTTAGTTCTTTAGACCAAATTGATTATTAAAAAGATTGAAGAATACGCATGTTAATTTCTCTAGAACGATGTACCTCTGACGAAGACATGAGATCTCCGACCTCTAGTTTTTGATAGGGAGGTTGTCTTCTTGACTATCGTGGTTTTGGGGAACAATGAAAATATTTCTTCCGTGTTGAGTGGCATTAAAAAAGCTATGAGCAAATTTCGCTGCTAAAACCGGTTACAAAAACGTTTTGTTGGAATTTTTTGGCTCAGTGAACACCTTTTGGAACGTACAGCACGTGCGCATAATTAAACCCACTAAACGTTCCCGCCAAAAACATCAGGTAAACTTCCAAAGACTAAAATTACCTGGGTGCATATGTTATTATGGACTTCTGATCACCCAATATTAAACCTCTGCACAAGTGAAAATAGTTTAATTTCGATTTTGTTAGGACACCTGGTGTTCGTAAACTCCTTGCTTTTGAATCAGAGGTTGTCACATTGGTATTTTACTGGATTTTATACTTCATTGCCAAGTTTTATCTGTTATTTGTATAAAGCAGTCACTGTGGTTGCACTGATTTGATTTTGAGGATGAACTATGCAATCTTGGTCCTTATTGTATCATTCATGGTATGTATAGCAAGTGTTAGTACTTTTTCTTTTTATTGTTTAATTGTACGCAACTGTGACCACCATTTTTTGTGGCTTATGTATTTGTTATGTGTAGTTTTTAATACAAGTACGCAATTAAATAAACAAATCAAGATAGACAAATGGGCCTGTGACTGGTGCATTACATTTAATGCTGGAAAGACTGAAGAGATGATTATTAGTAGGAAACGAGAACAGAACCACCCTCCTCTCTACTTCATGAATGAAGAACTAAAGCCTACTCATAGCATTACCCTTCTTTGTGTTACCATTACCAATACTCTATCCTGGACTCCGTTCATCAAAATTCTTGCCAAGAAAACGGCCAGGAGGTTATACATTCTTGGGCGCACCAGAGAGCTTCTCCCTCTTCAGGCTCGAATAACAGTGTATAAGGCATATATTCGTCCCCTCATGGAAATATGCTTTCCCAATATGGAGCGGAGCTGGTGCAACTGTACTTAAGCTACTTGACAGCATTCAGAAGAAAGCTGTACGTCAGCTCCAAATTGGGGATCCGCAAAAGGTTGGAATATATCCCTTGGAACACAGGAGAAAAGTAGCCAGTCTGAGTACCTTTTACCGGTACATCTTCCTGCAACCCTCAGAGGAACTCACTGGAATTCTGCCGACCAAAGTATCTGGGACGCGAGTAACTCGCTTTTAAACCACAAGTGGGCACCCATACCTTGTTAAAGTGCCAAAATCCAACACTCAGCTTCACATGTCTTCATATGTACCAAGGACCAGCAGGCTGTGGAACTCCTTACCAGCCTCGGTCTTCCCTGACAGTCCCAATATGACTAAGTTCAAGACTGCTGTAAACAGTTTCTTGTTGAACTCTTAGAGATTTTCTAATTTATGACAATTAATTATGTACCATGCAATTATGTATAATGTATCTGATATTTTTGGGATCGAATGTTCTGTGCACTTAAGCGAGGGGAATTGATGTGACATTATATTGAACCGAAAATCATTGATATACGATGTTAAGACCAGGTTCACTTTGCACTGATTAGAAAAAAAAAAGATATTCAACAAGAAGCGTACAAATCCCCCAGATTTACTTCTCCATGCAGCTGACTAATTTGCATCATCCCTGTCCTGACTTCTCCAACTTGTTTTCATGCAATGATAATTTTATCTGTGAGTGGGTGATTTTTTTTTTTTGGGGGGGGGGGTATAGAGGATGCAATTTCTCCTGCAATCTTGATGCTGATTCATTGGTTTACAGAGTAATAAAGAAAGGCATGTCCAAAAAAGGATTATGTTTTTATGAAGCAATGCGTCATTGAGAAGCAATGCGTCATTGAGAAGAAAAGGACACTAAATTTGGTATAAAGCAATGTGAAATAGAAATATCTTTGAACACAAAATTGGTTTATTTAATCAAAATGCCAAGAGGAGGACCTGACTATCTACCTATCATTAAACTCACTTACTGTGGCCTAAGTACAGCATCAATATTTGCTATAGGCAGGCCATCTTCTATATATCTTAGCGTGGTAATTGCCTCAGCTATATTGAATCTAAATGCAATACACAGAAACAAATAATTTCCTTCACATGTTATACTTTTAATACACAAAGACTTGAAGTACATTTTCGTCAGATGAGAACACCGTCATGTCACAGCAGGTGGTTGGGGAAAGCGATATCTGCGGAGCAACTTCTATAACGTTATATGACCAAACTAAAGTGCAACTGAGGCGTAAGACACTCGTGTAGGCCCTACAGCTACCTGTTTGAAATGTTTATCGCTAATTAGTTATATACGTTCCAATGATAGTTTTTATGAAGTTGACATAATACTTATATATACTTGACATATCAGGACTACAAATTTCATTGTTAAAAAATGTTTGTCTCCATAAGGCCACACCAATTTAATTTCTTGGTTAACGGATTTTTCTAGAAAAATAATGGAGTGGGCGGGCGAAAAAAAAATAGAAATAAAAACAGCCCTAGGCATCCTATTATGGCCCAAAATGGTACGATAGGAGTCATGAAGTCAACACACCAGGCTGGTTCAAAATTTAAACAATGAATTTTGAACTTTTAATGATAACAATGCATTGAAAGATGGAATAACTGTAACAACTAGGTTGAAAAGGACTGTTTTCAACTGTTCAGGGCAAAATATGAGCATTTTGCAGTTGCTTTGATTATGAATTTTTATTTTTATTTGCAAATCAGAAAAAAATGAAGCGGGCGAATCCGTTAACCAAGAAATTAAATTGGTGTGGCCTAACCCTTTACCAGTCAAACAATGAAAAAAACAAACACCCCGAAACAAATGTTAATGCCACTAACATCGGCCCTACAACTACGGGGCAAGACTGTGATTTTTCAGAGATCTTCCTTTCATTAATATTCTTCAATTTTTGCACTGATTCATCTTCTAAGCTTGGCCATTTCAGAAACTTGTGGGCTTCTTCACCTGCTTTCTTGAGGTCAGGCATCTAGATCTTTTTCTCGGATAAACTGCATGGTTTCCTGGAGGTCGTTCAGGAAGCGGCTCTCTCGTGCCTTCAACCCGGTCTTGCTTGCTTCCCCTTCGCGGGCGACTTGCTTCTTGTAGCCGACGGTCTCTTGCAGATCGGACAAGACGCTCTCCCTCCGGTCTTGAGCTTCCTTCCTTACGTCCCAAGCTTCAAGGGTCTCCCGAAACTCGCGTACGGCCAGTGCGGCTTTCAGCCCTTTATCGTGCATTGGGCTATCCAGGGGGCCGCCGCGCTTTACAAGAGAATACAAATTCGCAAGATCGGACAGGAACTCTCCTCTCGCGAGCTCGTTGTTTTGCGGATCAGCTGTAAAGAAATCACAAACATATCAGTTCGCTGTTGCCGTCGCTAAAGATGCCTTTAAAAGGAAAAAAAGGTTAGAATTAGAGTCAGGATCCTCATCATCAAAATGATAAAAATCGTTTTTTTAGCCAAAATACTGATTATTTGCTGAGCAATTATGGTGCCGACTTGTTCTGGGCTTGGTGCTGAGTTGTCTTGGCATTGCGGGAATACATGCGGGCAGCTATATGAGCTTGCCGGATTTTAGTCAATCTGTGATGAAACTTTGCAACATAACATTTTGTTCATTTCCTATTCATAACAATTTATTTTTTAAAGAAAATAACACCTGCTTCTAGACTATGATGCATGAGTTCGTAAGCCTGTTGCACATGAGGAATGACGTCCAAGGCTCGTGTCTTCAGAGACAGGGTCATGGTCGGACTTCTCGGCTGGATTTTTAGTTTTGGCAGAACCTAGTCTGGTAACAAGACCCACGTGAGTCAGCGCTATTTTTCGGCGCTGGTAGCGTCACGGGCCGCCAAACAAGGACCCAATTACCGCACGCCGGGGGTAGCTTTATGCAGGAAAACCAGTAAGTTGGATAGGTCCGTGGGTATAGATCGGCTGTGCCTAGTAATTATCCGGGGAAGAAAATTCACCCCCTAAGGTTTGGTACCCAGGCTAGCCAGAACCCAAGTCACAAACAATACATTTCTTAAACTTTAGTTCCCATTTAAACAGCCTGCATAGTTTAATACACTTTGCAGATTAGGATATACTAAGTAAGCATACCGGCATCTCGCTTCACTCGGGGGTTTCCCTGAACCACGGCTATGGTCAGGACCAGGCACAGGAGGTAGGCAGCTTTCATCTTCACAACTCAACTTGTAACGTGCTGTGTAGCTATAGGGAAAAAACAAAAACAAACAGCAAACATGAACGTTTGCGTCAAGCCACAATACCTCGGGAAGCTGAGAAAAGACTTTGTGATTGTTCCACACGAATGAGCAGGGCGAGTGCAGAGAAGATTTTTTTACAGGGAAGTACAGAGAAGAATTTCTTTACAAAGAAAGCCAGCTTTCTGGACATACAGCGCCCTACTTCGCCTAGAATCATGTGGACCAAACTAGTTTGCCGATTTCTATATACGGAAATAGCAATATAAAATAGACACTTCTTACCCTCAAAAATGAAGACACCTGTTCCTTCTGACTCTTCAGGCAAACTGGGCGGACAGACACCTGCGCGAAGAACTAGTTTCATAATTAGAATCGTCCAAGTTAAGAAGAGGGGGGATGAACAGCCTCCTTTTTTTCAAAATGGGTAAACCAACTTCAATTCCGAACATCCAAAATCGGTATACACAGGTACAATAGGTATCCAGATAGCATAGCAGTCCACATAACATTATTTTGTTTTTGTTCTATAATTAATGGCTTACATGTTGTAATCTGTAGTTCTTCTTGCTCCCCTTACAAGATTGGTACATGCCTGAGATAACAGGTCTGTCAACTCTGGTACTTTGCATGCTAATTATCACATAGCTATAGCTCTAGACAACTACCTTTTATCATGTAGATGTTAGTTATTTTATACTACGTTTCATTGTTCTTTTATGTTTGTAATCTGCAATTAGCCCACCCGGGCATGAATTTGCAATAAACTTATTATCGAAATTGCTTCTGTAATTATCTTCATTCTGTGTTAAAAAACGCGGTTTAAACCACCTGTAAGTTTGACAGAAGTCCACATTAACGTTCATTGAATTCAATGTGCGGTAATATAGAATAGCATCATTTTTTTTATAATTAAAGACTTACAGATTGCAATCTGTAGCTCTTCTTACCTCCCTTATTAAATTGGTACATGCCTGACTAATAACAGGTCTCAGACAACATTCCTTTTTCTTCACTGATGTACTTTACATGCTAAGGCCATGTTGATTTGATTATATGGATGACATCCGCGCTCGCATGAATTTTCGGCCGTTTCCAAAAAAAAGTTTTCAACCATACTGTAAATCGTACAAAACAGTTGCAAAATGAGCAAAAATATACCATAAGTTAAAAAAAAAATTAATAAAAACTTATGATACCAATGTCGTAGAATGCCAAAATCAAACGAAAAAAGACGAAATTGTAAAGAAATGAACTTGAAGACTAGATTATTCGCCAAACCATATTCTGTGCCATTTGCTCAACCCTCATGACCAGGTAGATTTCATAATGAAAATAACTTTTTTTTTTGCAAAACTTTTTTTTTTATTCGCACGCGCACATCAGTTTTGGGGCTCCCGGAGTATGTCATACTGTATATAATCAAATCAACATGGCCTTACTATCTCTACTTAGGCCATACCAATTTAATTTGTTGGCTCTCGGATTTGCCTCTTGTTTTTTTCTTATTTGCAAAAAAAAAGAGATTTCAGTTCTGAATCAACTCAATAATGCTCATATTTCACCCCCAACAGTAACTGTTGATCCTTGTTACAGTTTTTCCATCTATCAATGCATTGGTTTGATTAAAAGTTCAAAATTCATTGTTTGAATATTAACCCAACCTTTTGTGTTGACTTCATGGCTTGAATCTATTGTATCATTTGGAGCTATAATAGGATGACTAGCCTTTTGAATGAAAGCTCATCTGTGTTGGTAGAATCCAATACAGAGTTCAAACTTGTTCCAACACAAGGAAGAAACTCACCATATAAATTTTCGGCTGATCCTGTCAACCTTCATCAGATGTGTGATGTAATCGCTGATCACTTTCCAGAAGGAGGTAGTTTACATCACTGACATCAGGGCCCATCAACCCTCTCTGAACCGTGATGGTGGGAAATACCATCTTCCCGCCACTTTTGATGCACTCCTGACGTCATCATGCTTCCGACTTCCGGAAAGTCAGCGATTGCATCACACATCTGATGAAGGTTGACGGGATCAGCCGAAAATTTATGGTGAGTTTCTTCCTTGTGCTGGAACAAGTTCGAACTAGATATAACGATGACTAAACCTGTTTTTATTAATATTGTTATTTTTTTCGCGCTGTTGCTTCATATTTTTTCTGAAAAAATCAGAGAACCAACAAATTAAATTGGTGTGGCCTTAGAACTAATAATGTTGGTATACAAGATGAAGAGTTATGCAATACATAAGCAGGTAAGAGAAACATGGTAACTACTAATATATTTTCTATTCTATGAAATACTATTCTAGCCAAGCTATTTGGAGGTTTGACTTCTTCTCAGGAGGCAATGGGAGATGAATTGTCCAACTCTTAAAAGTTTGAAAAAAAAAATTAAATGGGTTGGGAGATTTTATACTTCGTAGTAGTCTTTTGTTGAGATGTGAGAAACTTGGAAAATGTTGTAGACTTCTTTTAACATCATTTTTCTTTCAAAATCATAATGAGGACACTGACAGATAAAATGCATCTTCCACTGCTCCCTCTGTACAGTATTTACAGAATCTTAAATTCGCTTACAGGTGGTTTCTTGTATCTCCCTTTCTCTGTCTCTGATGTGTGAGCGCTTAGTCTCATTTTACATGATAGAGATGATCTTAGCTCAATATCAGGGTGATGCAAATAGGTTTTCATACTGTAATCAGATTAAAAGTTTTTTATACAATCTTGATTTTCCACCATTGATACATGTAGATAAATTGTGGAGGAAGGTTTGAGTATACATGTCAGTTAGCCTTTTCCTCAGCAATATACATACAAATCTATTGTTTACATCTAGATTGCTATTTTGCCAAATGAATGTTGCTGCTGTCAAGTACCTCTTTCACGTGGCATTCGCATACACGTATCTAGCTATAGGATGTGTGCAGAAATCTAGTTGTCTTAGCTGTAACCAGTACTTTACTACCCTGACTGAAACATCAATGTCTAGTGGAAATCTGCCAAGTTCAGCTTTACATGCTATGTTGCTGGCGTTTCTGTGAATACCAAGAATGTTTTTATGTCATATGTTTGAATAGTTAATTTTTTTCTGTAGACAGTGGACACTTGGTTGTATTTCTCATTTCTAAAGTTTGCAGTGTTGTCTAACCGGTTAGTTCTTTTTGAGCTGAAAATGCATTTAGATGTTGGTTAACTAGACGCTGTAATTTAGTGTAAACGGACCAAATAAATCACTCCTAGATTGGGGCTTTTAGAATCTTGGACAATTGCCTTTTGTACATACATTTATTTTGATTAGTTATGGGCATTAAGGTACTAGATAGTCTGTTTTGGCAACATGTTTTCCTTTGACAACTGAATTTCTCTTCTGATCAGTAAAATCAGGGTTTTGATGTTGGGACTAAAGTTGAATGTGGTTTATTATAAACTTGTATGTTGTATGACAATATTAATTTCTTGCAAGGCCGATTGCTTTTTTTTATACACTGACTTTTGTTTCTCTTGTCATAAAGATGCGGACCCGAAGCCTGGTCTGAGCGGAAGGACGAATCAAACTTTTATGGGCAGACCTGTGTGAAAGAAGAAGGGGAGGTGTGAGTATGGTTTCATTATTAACACGAGACAACACTCCACACGCCTTGAGGTGCACACATGTACATTCACGTTTGTCTTTTGCCCTGAGTTCACTCTACTCTGGGGGTCTGCATGCCTTTTTTCTGTGAGGAGCCCTTTTACTTCAATTGTAGCCATCAACTTTAATTCAATAAGCATCACTGAAAAAGTCCTCGTATTGTGTAGCTGAATATGCCAAATTGCCCAAAAATTGTCACATGAACCTTTCTACGTACACATAAAATTCTCCGGACATGTGGTTGATTGAAAGTTAAAAGCCTGTCAAAAAAATCTGTTGGTCAATTCCCCCCCCCCCCAAAAAAAAAACTA